TCAGGTAGCGTAACCGCTACCTTTCGTGATATAATATATATATATATTACAACGTAGCTCAACTCACCAAGTGCTAACCTCAAATGCGGGAACCCAAGTGCTTGTGTGCTGCCCCTGAGGAATCATTCCCAGAAAACAACTTGGCGTTTGGAGGCTGACTTGAGCGCAAGCGTTGTTCTTCTATACACATTTGTTTGATTTTGTTTGCATGTTTGTCGGCAAAACACATAAACACGACAATAACTCAGCCACATCAGCCAGCAACTGGGGATAGGGGATAGGTAAACATGCCCAACGAATCCCACCAATTCAGCCTATTCACTGCAAAACTAGCATTCATCATGATCCCATCTGATCCTATGGGTCAGGCAATGGTGCATGGAACGAGGGCAAGTGAAACACGCTACTTGTTTAGCGTTGGAAATGCCCACTTTCCATGGCCAGGTATCTTGAGGATCCAAACGTGTGCCTCTGAGGCTCCTTTGTGTGGCCCCCCGGGGGGGGCGCCTCCGGAAGCTCCGTTGCTCTCCGCGTCTCCGCGTCTTCCCCCCGACCTCCTCGTGCCGTGGAGCTGGAACGCGCGCCGTCGGTCTCCCCTGGCGTTGCCGTGCCGGCGGAGACCGCGGTGGGCCGAACACGGTGGCCGTCGAAAAGGATGGATCGACTCTGGACCACGAACAAGGACGCCTGTTCTGGAAGTGTGCCAAGAGGCTGTGCAGTTTCTGCGAATGGGATCCTGGACCACGAACCGCGGCGAGGTCCCTCAACCCCAAAACACTTGGAACTTCGGACTCCCTCGAGTCGGAGAGGCTTCTTTAGTTCGATCGACCCCCCGTCGGCCGGAAAGCCGGCGTTATGGTGGCCGAGCGTGTTGCAAGAAGCCGACCCAAACGACCGTGTTCGGCAAAGAACATAAGAATCAAACACGACCTGTCTGGGACTGCCATAGGACGGCCGATCAGGCCAGGGGTGGTGCCTGGGGGGCCGACCTCTGGGGCGACATATCTTCCAGTCCCATGGAGTGTGCATAAGAACCAAAAACAGGTGTAGCCAACTCTAAACCGCCTCAGGAGACCAAAGGGATCCCAAAGTCGTTCATCAAATTGACATGCTTTTGAGCAATACAAGAGTCCAATGCACTTTTCTATCATACAAATGGGGCTCAATATGGACTCCACAAATCATGATAGATCGAAGTTGGCAGGGCAAGTTGGGAGGAAGTCAGTCCTCGAACGACCTGTGCTCATTGTCCATTTGCCATCGACCATCATCGACCAAATCTCAAGAAGTCATGGTCAGGTTCCAAGTGAGGTTGTATAAAAACCCTGGGTGGGAATACTAATTCCCTGGGTGGGGGGTTTTTATAATCTCTCAAGTGGAGAGCCTCGAGACTGCCCATTGTAGCCAGCTTTCGGTGCTTTCGGCTCCTCGGAGACGGGCGCCGAGGAGCCGTCGTCGCCGTCGTCGGACTCCGTGCTGGACCGAGAAAAAACGCGAGTGCTGGCAGGAGTCGACCGAACCCACCAAACCCACCATGAACGGGTAACCCATCGCAAACGATCTCCAACGGATGTAATAAGTAAGGGATGTATAGGGGTATGTGGGATGCATCAAGGCACCATTGGACAAGTTGTATCTATAGTCTATAGCTGCTGGACTATAGCTAGATCACAAGCCGGGCCAGTCCTTGTCCCGAAATGGTAGGCATGGTCATTGTCGCTCAGCATCAGCTCCACGGCACTTCCAAGTTGTCCACTATCCACAGTTCCCTTAAAGTTCTTATAGTGGATTGAGATGGATTGAGAGTAGATGGCACAGACCCTAAGAGGTGGTTTATATGAATCCCCATGTAAAGGACATCGGTTTCGGTCCGTGCCATCTACTCTGAAACCACGGTTTTCAAGTCCTTGAAGCATCCCTGACAACCCAGCGATCCATCCGCGCCGACCCTCCTCCCACTTGCTCCTCCTTCGGTTCCGGTTGCCCCTGGACCTCCTCCAGAGTTGCCTTCGTCGACAGCTCCAAAGGCAAAGGCCTGGCAGAAAGGTCTATGGATCGGTGCAGGGCCAAACAGCAGGGACACCAAAATGCAGCCCAGCTGGCCCCAGCCTTACAGGCAGTAGCTGCGTAGCTCGTTTGAAAACAGGTGACGATGGAGGGTGACTGGTATGGCTACTCTCTGAGGATCACTAGTTCGAGTTGCAGGGCTTCGGGCTACGTTTTCATTTCTTGCGAAGTCGGGTTGTACTGCAAGGTCCGACCTCGTGGGGTTGGGGGAATCAAAAGGACCTAAGAAGGAGCCACATCACGAGCCACATATATGCCAACAGCAGCCTGCATGCGTGCACTCCCGCAAAATCATGCAGCGGGCCATAGGGCCAGAGGTGTTCAGATGATGATTGTTCAGTTTTTTTTGATTTTGGAGTAGTAACACATATGCAAAAGTATTCAACAACAAAAGCACAAGTCACAAGTCAATATAATTGGTTTAAGGGACCATCTGCCGGAAACCCATGGAACTTCACGCCATGGCTTTCCAGGAAAGATGTTCCCCTTCAATCAATTCTGGGACCAAGACATGTGCTGGACCTCGTTTCAGCCCTTTACCTCTCTACTTGCAGGCCACTTTGAGGTGTGGTCAGATGTGGCATGTGCCGTCAGCCTTCGGCGGACTACTCATAGGCACGCTCGGTCAAAGACCAACGGCTGGTTGAGCTTCTGTTTGGGTAGTTGGCCGATTCTGAATGCCCGACCCATTGATGACTCTTCAGCCGACCGAGACCCTTTCTGAGCAGATCTGATCAGAACCCTCAGCAAAAAGGCCTCACATACTTAGATTTGCATTTGAACTGGAGAAAATCATACGAACGGATGTAGGAAAATACAGGAACATAATGGAACATAAACATACCAGAGCGTATAGTCACACATACATGCATATAAATATATATATACAGTATACATACATAAATGCCATACATATAGGAGCATCCTGTCCGGTTGTTGGAGATTCCGGATAGTCGTGGGCTGGGTAGTCCAGTGGCGTCGCTGCTGAACGGACGAAACGATGCTGGGCTGCAGCGCGAACATGGACTTCTACTCGACGGAAACCGGTGTGCCTCGGGGTGAGTCGCATCTCCAAACACAGTTCCTCAGATGTAGCGAGATGCGGGAGAGGTAGGCAAGTCAGTGGGGGAAAACACAGTTTGATACAGTTTGAAAGGATGATTCGTTAGGGGGAAGAGACCCAGTAGTGATTGTAGTCGGGTTTCCTTACCTTGATGCCCGATGCATAAAAGCTCATAGACCATAGAGAATTAGTTATTCCACAAATAATATTGCGTAAAATATTATATATATATTGTTCCACTGTATTAATCCCACACCATGGTACCATATCTCCAACATGCCCTTTAAAATCCCATGCCTCTGTTCTCCTTTCATGTCCAGGCACGCAAAAGGGAGGTTCTTCTTTTGCCATCCGCAGCAGCGAATGTGCCTCGACCCACCGTGAAGCAATCGACCAACCAGCGCCCGAAAAGAACAGCAAAGGATGGTAGGCCAAGGCCGCTCAGAAAAATAAAAAGAAATATCCCAGACGCTCCATGCATGGAATATTTACATACATTGGGGTGGTTTCAGGGGTCAACGTAGGAAAATATGCCAGTCCCGTGGAGTGTCTGGGTTATATGGGCTATGGCTATGGGTCAAAGCCCGGGAACTCTGGGTTGACCGCGGAACATGAACAGAATACACCGCCAGGGAGGTCAACCTACCGGGGCTTGGAGCCACAGGCGTTTATCTGGTCCAGCCATGATGCAGTTGGTCAAGGCCCAAAGAATCATTCCAGCACCTTCATGTCGGGGCCTCCAATGGAATACCCTACATTTCTTGGTGGATCTCGGGGAAAAAAAACGACATGAAGGTCTATAGTTGCTTTGGCAATTTTCTATCGGACCGGGGCGGAACCAACGAATCATCCCACCAAAACACCAGCGCCAGCGGCACCGGGCTTTGGCTCGTCGGATGGGGCCGGGCCCCCGAACAAAGATCCGTTGGCGGATCCAGGTCTCGCTGCGCCGCAGGTCTTCCTGCAAGGTCTCGACGGACGGGGCAGTGCAAGTCTCGTGCCACGAGAGTAGTTGTGCTGATATTCTGCCGGGGTTCGGGGGGGCAGCGGCGATGGCTCTTTTGGGAGGCATTCTGGGCATCTTCTGAGCATTCCATGGGTGAAAACCCAGAAAGGCCCATAAATTGGGACAAAGCAATCATGGCATGGCATGCCGGCATGAGGTTCACTGACCTCTCTCAACGTGTCTTGAAATGAGAACAGCAGTGATGGATGGTTATGATATAACATGTATGTCAATGTATGTATGGGGTCTATCCTAATACCTGTAACAGTGGATGATGATGGTTAGTAGAGGCCTTGTTCAAAAATCGTGATTTGCTTGTTTACTGGCTGTTACAGGTCAGTTCGGACGTTCACCCCGTCGGGTATGTTGACATGCTTCGTTCACCTGGCCAGGCTATATAAGCATCCAAAAGCCCTTTCCGATCGCCAAGTCCGTTTCAAGGATTTCTTCGGACTTCGGCCCTCTCAAACATCTCCCAGACACGACCTGTCTGGGACTGGCATAGGACGACCGATCAGTTGACCCCCCCCAAACTACCACCACCCCTGGCCGTTTCTCGGCATATATTCCATACATGGAGTGTTTGGGTTTTATGCTCTGCCACCGTTCTTTGTGGCCCAATGTTGAGGGATATAACTATAATTAATATACAGTACTATAGCTGTCATCAGCTTGCCGCGTCCATTTTGTGTATTTATTTGGCCCTTTTTTCGATCTTCCGACTCTGTTTCAAGGTGGTGAGACCATGATGGTCTCACGCTGATCACGCACCTCCTTTTGACCGATAGGCTGGCTGCCTCTCCAGCCTCTCCTTGGTCAAAAGACCATCCTCCACCAAAGGCTCTGCATTGCCTGTGGCTACCTGAAAAGATTCGAGCTTTCGGGCTGTACACTGCCAGCCTTCCAGCAAATTCAGAAGCTCAAAATGAGTTGGTGTTTTGTGGTGTTTGTGTTTTGGACTAAGCCTTTGGAAAACACATTTGAACCCCTGCTGGAGTCGTCAGCATGTCATCCCGGCGTCTCATTTTCGTGAGCACCAATACCACCAAAGCCATTGGAGTTGGAAAGCTTGAGACCTAAACCCTCTATGGATAGATAGAAAATGATAGAACATGATAGACAAGTTGATCCTGCAGTAACGTAAGGATGTATTGGAAACCGTGCCATCCTCTCTATTTGGGGACCACTATCAACCAATTCACATCAATTCACGAGGCTATTGGTTTTGGGCATGTTGCATTCCAAACTGACGCCTGTCATTCTCAGGGGGTGGCGTGTTCCAAGACGCCGCCCCACGACGCGCATCTCGCCATGTGATGCCTCAGCCCGACCGACACAAGGCAAGTGGCATGGTGCTCATAGTCCATTCCGGCCATGATCTTGGTGCCCTCCTCCGCATCCTTCGGGCAGTCATCCCCCCAGTGGACTCAGTGTTCCCTTCCCCCGAAGCGGAAGAAGGTGCTGCACACACACTGGGACGAAGTCGTTCATCCATGTGAATACCACCCGTGTCCCAACTCGCATGCTCGATAGAAAGCCATAGAAGGCCAGCAATCCTGCATGGTCCGACGTGCTGGGGATGGGTGGGTCCGCCAGCAATGGCGATGTTCGGGCTGGCCTCTCACTCTCACTCACTCACTCACTCACTCACTCACTCTCTCTCTCTCTCTCTCTCTCTCTCTGACGCGCCAACAGGGTAGCAGTTACTTCCTTCAGTCGCTTTGCTGGTGCAGCATCACAAAGTAGCCCTGCAAAAATTGTTTTAAAAATCCCGGCTTGGCAGTGATTTGTCCAATCCAGCCTCTTGGTTTGGATATTGCTACCATGTAGGTCCTACAGTCACACTGACTTCATCTGATCATCTTTGTTCAAAACCTGGCCCCAACTATCAAAGATGCGCGGCTGATCCAGGCTGACCCACAAACCTCGCATCAGGCTGGACTCAACGACCATGTGCGGCGGCATCCACACCGACACCCTTGCACACCCTTGCGCATCCCGGATGTTCACAGAACCACATGGATTGGAGGGTGGGTCAAAACTTGGACACCCTCCCACCAAAATCACCAAAAGAAAAAGAACATGCAACCCGTCTTCTCTTCTGTTCGTTTGGTCAAATCAGGTGTTCCGGCTTCGAAGCACATAAAAACCATCATGGCAGTCTGATGCCAGTCCTTCAAAGACTTCACATCCGCAGGGGAGAGCATTCCTCAGTGAGTTGCTGAGTTCGTCTCACCGGTTCGTCTCACTGGTGTCTCGGTCTGAACCAACAGGGGTTGTTCGGTTTTGGAGATGATAGACCGGTCGGGCTCCAGTCGTATCTTCTGAGACGGTGGGGCTGCGGTAGGTTTGGGGGGGGTCTAACTACCTTCGATGTGGGCCAGGAGCCCTAGGGAGAGGCAAAACTAGAGGCAAACTCTAGTTGTGTTGATTCCCCTTCTTCCTTTTGCTCTACACTTCTCATGAACTTTCAAAAAGAAGATCTCATGTGGCAATCCACCTTTTCACCAGGAAAAACCTTGAAAAGCCACCGCTGGGTCTCGGTCCCACGGCGAGCTTCGGAAAAGGGGTGCTGTGATGCTTCCAGGTGTTTCCAACATGTCATGCAATCACATGCAATTCTTTCACTTAGGATTCACCCCAAACTTAGAAGGATAAGGTGCATGTTCTCCGAATCAGAAGCAGGGAGAAGAGTTCACGTTCTACACATTCACCTCTACAGGCAGGACATGAATGCATCTCAATTCATCCTCAAACATATGCACCTGTCTGGTGTGTCTTAGTCTTAGTTCGGGGGAAACTCTTAACAACAGTTCCATACCAACTCCCAAATGCACATCTTGAACTCTTCTTTTCACACGGAAAACCTTGATTGGGCTCTTCGTTCCCCAAATGAACCTCAACCCATGCTTTCTTCAAATTCCTTATATCCTGGGTGGCCCTCTCTCCTCTCGAAAACAACCAAGAGAACACACCCTCCCCTTCACCCAGATCCACCTATGGAAAAAGTGCCTGGAACGCACTTTCAGATTTCTTGGTGCCAGACTCCGGCCCCTCACATAAGCTTTGCTTCGGGCCCCTTGTCCCCCCCCTGCGCGAACAAAATAAAAAAAATCCGACCCTTCCGATCCCTCTGCCGAGCGAACGGGTCGTCTGAACGGGTCGTCCGGACCCTTCCAACTCGGCACCCCGCTGCGGACCCAAGCGACGCTTCTTCCGGCGGAAGGTGTTCCAAAGGTCGCAGAGGGCCCAAAGGTCCAGTTCCGCCGTCTCCTGGGGAAGACGAAAGAAACACCTGGAAGAGTGGGTTTCTTGGGTCTGCTCTTAGCCCCCGATATATCATGATATATCATCTAGAGTGTTCAAGCACAGGCAACCCTGTACCACTTTTGAGGTGATGGTTTTCTTTTCGGATTTTGAACACCTCACATTCTCACTTGGTCCTGCACCTGTCCGACTTGATCCCGCGTCTGGTTCCACAAACCAAGCTGCTGTCCGTGGTCCATGTTCATGAATGCAGGGCTGTCAACAGGAGCACATCCATACACATCCCATGATTTCCAAAAGCTAAGGTTAGCAGCAGCGCAAAAAAACACACACACACACACCTGCACAGAGGTGCTGAACCCAACGTTCGTAAAGACCCTTGACCCTGGAGTTGCCGGGATTGATAGCACAAACAGAACCGCAACGCAACACAAAGGAATCTGAAATTTGAAAGGTTGGAACTCGTGACATCTGCTGCTTAGATATCCATATCTATCTATACCACTCTACCCTATACTAATATGTATCTAACTACTACCTATATTCCGATGAGCTCGAGTACAACATGCCCAAAAAGAAGGCCCCAACTCGCGCCAACTCGTGCCGCGTGCGTTTGCGGTGCTCCGCGTCGAACTCGTCTCGCACGCCTGTGCGAGGCGAGGCTGTAGCAATAGCCCATGCTCCGGCGCAAAGGCTAACATCCAACCTTCCTCACCTGGCGCTCCGGGTCGCACGAGCTTCGGGCGCCTCGGTCCGCGCCGCGCGGTGCCGCGGCTCCGCCTGCGAGGCGCAACCAGCCAGCGAAGTTCTGGGAGCGCGCAAAGACCAACTCCCCGCGACCTCAGAGGTGGCGGGCGACCGAGCGAGCTGGAAGGCAAGGCATGGTTGATGGTGGAAAACGGCATGAAATGGCAGAAGAGTGGCCAGGTTTGGGGGGTTTGGGGTGAGCGGAATGGGTGTGAATGAGCTTGAATGCTCCTGTATCATGGTCGTGCAATGTCGCAAGGTCTTGACATCCAAATGTCTCCTGAAGCACTTGCTTCCAGCTCAGCTGCCGCAATTCTGCGGTGAGTGCGCAGAATCACATGGCACAATCACACAAGTCGGACGATCAGGCTGCTAAGCGAAGCCCACCACAACATCGGTTTTAAGGGGACTCGTGCTCCCGCGCTTGTTTGAGGTTGAGGCCCAATGAACGGACGCACATTGAGAAGATGCAGCAACGACACAGCGGTCAGTGTGTTCGAACGGAAACGCATGAACTGTACTATCGTGCAACATCTACACTAGAAACGAAACAAATCACGTTCACCTGGTTTCACCATTGCTCACTGTTCAACCTAAGGAACAGGGAAAATTAAGAATCAGCCACAGGGAAAGTCATCACCCTAAGCAAAACCAAAATGATCATCCATGTAGCTATGGGGGTTCTATTTGCACCATCGATGGTCCGTCAAAGTGCAACTGGTCACTGAGCCAAGCTATATGGCTCACTTGACAAAATGCAAACAATGAATGGGACTGGAACATTGATTGTCTACATCAGGGTGTTAAAAGGATGTAACACGTACTATAAAATGAATGATGATGAACGTGTCTTTCCACAACAGCAGAGCGATCAAAAAGCAACACATACAATTCCATTAATAAAACACACACACACACACACCACCAAAAATAGGAGATCCCTACATCATCCTATCGTCTCTGGGATGTCACCGACGGCACCGGCTTCTTTGGCTCCACCAAGCCACGCCGGTAGCACAGCGCGATGGCATCGCGGCTGGGGAAGGCGCGCACGGCCACCTCCCAACCGACGGCCACGACGGACGGTCGGCGAGGTCACGGTGAGTAGCCATCGTTCAATGGTCTGAGTAGAAAGAAGTTCTTGTGTTTTTGTTTTAAAATATATTACAATTCTAAATAGTTATTCAGTTTAAATATCTTCTCGTTTATTCAATATATAGCTTTAAACATCTTAAGAATATATGGTGTCCATCAGCCAGCGGCACTGTTTTTTTTTTGACCCTGCTTTTCGGACCGTCTGTGATAAATGGATATGAATACTGAACATAATAATGGATACAATAAATGCCGCCAGGGTGCCTACTTTAGGGGCAACTTGGCAAAGACTGCCTCCTTCTGATTTGACCCACCCAAAGGATCATCGGACCCTCACACCTACGTACCGGAACCTCACACCTAGGGTTCTGGCCTAATCACTGTGCCAGGGAGGGTCCGGAACCCTCGCTGACTTCAGGCTGAGGGTCCAAGGCTTTGGCCCAAGGTGCGTATACGATGACGCACTTCATACAAGGATTGAAACAGGTCAATCACGTTTTTTTGACAAAGACCTCAGGAAAATCATGGAACTTTACAGACTCTTCCAACTGGCTGATGAACATTTACATATACTTCCAGCTTGCCGGTTTACCCACACTCGATCACAGAAGGATACTTTTTTTCATCCGGCCGCGGCCAAGAGATCTGATGATGGCACATGCCACGCCTGGCAACATATGGAGGACTGAACGTCCGAGGGTCATGGAGGGTTGCGAGTTTGGAAAGGTTTCTCACGACAACCTCTCACGTGCAGAATATACAAGGCTTTTTGGCGGCTCAAACATTGGGCCATATTGGGTCAATTGCGAAGCCATGGCCATGGAGGGAAAGGAAACCGATGTCGTTCGTTTCTCGGTTAAATACATCGAGCTTTGCAGTCTCTAGCGACTGTTTTCCAATTTGACCATTGATTTTTTTGGCCATGGAGTCCACGGAGCAAAGGTTGAACCAGCTTCAATCTGTGAACTCATGATCCAACATCTTAGGTGTGCTCCAGATTTCGCTGCCTGCTTCAACTTTCCTGAAGTGCGGTCAAGCAACTCCACCATCGAACACCCTGTTTGCTTCGATCAACCCTACTCGTGTCAGCTTTGAAGACATGAAAAACCACATGGGGTTGATACTTCGCATGTTCGAGCTCAGCCCGAAAGGTCCCTAGCTTGAACACAAGTTCCTGAAATGCAGTTGTTTTTCTGCATGTGCATGAAGCACTTCCCTTCACCGCCCTCACATTCGCTGCCTTCACGAGGTGAGTTCACAGCCACCTTCTTGAGTGGCGTCATTAGCCTCATCGACAAGGAGTCTGACTGGGGCTTGTCTCAAGCACGATATGTTAAAGATCGCAAAGTTTGGGCTGATGGCGCCACTTGGCTTGGCTCAAGGAAGATCATGTTTGTGTTATGCAGCACTTTCAACGATGACACCTCCGTCTGATCCCATCTAAGTGAACATAAGCTAAGGAGGCATGTTGCCTTTACAATCTTCTCAGTTATGCACGGCGTTACTGGCGACGATCTCTGGTGAAAAGGACGGTGTCAGAGGCCCCTACCATGTCCATCTTTTCTAGCTAAGGCTAAGTCATGCATTGCATGCATCTGCATGACTGAGACAAGTTGCATCCTATGCCATGACATGACCTTCTTTCCCATCCGCCAGTCTCATTTGGTCAGGAAGCTGCACAACTCCAGGAAGTCATGCAGCCCAATGAGCGGAGAGCCAGACCATCCTGCCGCAAAGGTGAACAGAGTGAGTCATCTCTCGAACCTGTTCCCCAGGATGTGCCGGATCATATAGCAAAAATATGCAAAAATAAGTGATAAAATGATTGATTATTGTCCACAACTTGGTCCACAACCTTTGGTTTGTGAGCTCCAGTATTTGTGTATTCGCGGGCACGCGCGCGCATAAGGTGATCTCCCGGAACCCCTACAGAACGTTGTTGACCCGGCCTTGAACGAGCCCGTGCCATCTTCGAGCCTAGCGGCAGAGTCCACCGATGTTGGAGGCGCAAACCATGTTGAACATGTCACACGCAAACCCGCAGCCCTAGAGTTGATGCATGGGAAGAATCAAATCAATGTCAGTTTACATGCCTGCCACTCTGCTAGGTGACGTGGTGCCATGCAACATCGTAGAGATACTTGATTCTCAACCGCCAGAACATTGGGAGGACTCTCAGCCACAGTGGCCTTGGCAGGAAGTCCCAGGCATGTTAATTGGTGAAACACAATTAGATGAACACGGTGAGGATGCGCACAACGAGGTTGCCACTGACACACAGCTTGTAACTCCAACGGATTTGGGAGATAGGACTGTTTTGCAACGTATGGATGCAGCTGATCCAATCACTTTAGATGATAGTGATGATGATGTCGCAGCGGATCCACGGGATGATCACATCGAGTTGGAGGGGGGTACAGATTCACAGGCCGGAGTTTTTTTGGTGCATGTTTGTTTTAAATTAATGTGTCTATGCTAGCGCCATAAACATCTGCAGGCTACCCTGATTCTGGGTGAATCACCGCGGGACAAGCTTTTGGGTCGATCCGCCAAGGACCAAACCATTTAGTCCAGGAAGGGGAACAGTACGCGCACAACAGACATTTGGTTCCGTGTGTTTGTGTGTGTGCAGGATCTGGGAGATCCTGCCACATATGTGATGGAACGAGAGGTAGTGGCACGGCAGGCCACAGTTTCTTTTTCAGGTCGTGCACAAGGTAAGCTTGGGTTTGGCAGTCATGGTTCATGCGACAGGCATCGCCTTCACATTGCCTTCACCTTGTCACCCCTTGTGATGGAATGCAGGACCTTGAACATATCATATATCATTGCATGCGTGTGCATTGCGATTGATATTGCATTCTTACGACCAGCTGACCAACATGATTGGAGTAAACGTGGAAACCGAAGCCAAACGGTCAGGACTGTGCAATGCCTGTGGATGCGACAGTTGGAACCCAATCATGCCCCGAGCAAATCCAGAAGGACCATTTTTTGGCAACATCTTGGTTTTGTGTCCCGGAGTCCCACACACTTCAATGTTCCTCATGCCACTTTCACTTGGCTGCAGGAGAGGGATGCGCTTTCTGGGACTTCCAATATGGTGGTGGAGGACCTTATACTTTTTCTGTGCCATGATCACAGCCGTGCAAAGACAAAGTCTCTCGAAGCCTACCTACCATTTGGGCATTCCATTCTTTCCCACACGTAGACTTCTTGGGAATCAAGGTGTCTCTTAACGCATCGATCATAGACTAACATCCTAGTTTGGGACGGGTGCGCATGTGCCTCTATAACGCTGGCAGGAGTGCGTGGGTGATGTCGCGGCTGATGGTGATGACATGGCTGCTACAGCAACATGTGATGGTCAGCCTGGGGCCGAGGCCGGATATCGAGTGCACATTCTACGTGGCATGCGGGATTGATACGCATGAAGTCTTGTATACAAAACGAAACTGGTTGAATCGAACGCTTGATGTTTTTTGTGTTTGACTTTGTTGTGGGGTCGCTAGGCCGGTTTGGAAACCAAGAGCCGCGAGTACAAGTACCCTTCACCTGATCTTCCCACCTTTTTTCAGCAAGTGAGTGAAGATGTCAAAAACATTGAGCCGCCAGTGTTTTCAACACAAGGGGAGGCGATTGGGAAAAAAACGGGGGAGGAAACCAGGCGCAAAAGCAAAAGCAAAAGCATCAGCAACACCGAAGGCCAAATCGCGCGGCCGGCCAGCAACAAAGAAATTCCAAGCTACAGCATCAGCAAGCCGTCGCAAGCAACAACGAATCAAAGCCAAAGCCATTGCTGACGCACGAGAGCATGGGTGCGATCCTGCACCCGAGCCGGAAACTTGTCGTCGTCGCCGTCGTCCTCGCACACCACAGCCAGCACCAGCAAAGCCTGCACGTGGGCATGCGTGTGTGTCTGCAGCTGGAGCAGCAGCCCCAGAGCCTGATACGCCAGAGAGGGCTTCATCTTCAAAAGCACGACCCAAGCGCAAAGCATCAACATCCGAGGCAGTGCAGCCAAAGCGGAAGCCACGGACTCACAAGCAGCCAGAACAACATGAGGGCAATTGCACGAACAAGATGCAGGGAGCGCCAGTAGGGGATGAATATGTGCCACCTAAGCACGTCACTCTTAATCACATCTACTCCAGTGCCTATAGAAAGGCAATGAGCGCGAGCAAGGATGCTGATCACGCACGGTCACAAGCGAAATTGGCCACAGCACTTTGGAAAGAGAAGGGCGTGGTCAATGGACTGTGCGGTAAGTTTTCGGAAAAGCCACGTGCCCAAAATGTGGACTAATGGCTCCGTAATCCTTTCCTATTTAGCTTGATTTGATGGGTCTCCTGGCATTCCGGATATCTCACGCAATACCCCATACTGTTCAGCATGGTCCTTATTTTACAGCCAAATGTTTGCACGAGACCCTAATTGAAAGAGTGTGTGTGTGTGTCTTCACACTCGCGCATCCACTGCCTATGGGGAAAACATGCTTGCGATTTCATCGATGCGCTTCACCTCATGCTGGCATGTGTCACACCTTCATACTGTCAATTCCAAGAATTTGCGCACCATGTTGTCCACCGGACCCACACTCATTGTTCGGGCTCCAGCCTTTGAAGCCCACGGTTGCATCCGGTACAAGCCTTGGCCCGGTGCGTCAATTATGCCCAAGAGAGTGCAGCTCAGCTACAATTACCGATCATTCACCGAACAAATGGAATACACTCACAGGGGAATGAGTTAAACATCCAAAACAACTGGTTTGTCTTCATATGGGAAAAGGACTTTTTCTTGATTGTCCATCATCAGCCAAACCTTTTACCTACATACAAGACCCTGTGTGTGCATGTATGGACAAATTTGAGGGTTCGATTCGATCAAGAAAAAAAGGGGATGACGCCATGCTTCAAATGTAGGACCTGGTTGCGCCAAGGAAACCTGATCATGTTGACCATGAG